TCCAATGGGTCCAATCCCTTGGGGTCATGAACAATTTCGAATTCAAGCTAGCTGCCCAAAGATGCTTCCGCAAAAGTTTCAGCTATTCTGGTTCAGTGGTTCTTAAAAGAATTTTTAAATATCTGTCCTATCTATTTTCCTGTAAAAATTGAATCCCCCATGCAGTGTGTAGTCTCGGGGTCATGATTGATATATTTTGGAATCTACACTTCAGGATACTTCTACTTCGGTTTCAGCTTTTTTAACCCAGCGGATCTTAAGAAGTTTTTATAAGATTTTTATGCACCGGGATTGATTGATCCGGGGCGTATATTTCTATGTGAAAATTGGATATATTTGTATATTTTGGCCCAGTAATGGTCAATATTTAAAAACTAGTCCTGGATGCTTCCACATACGTTTCAACTGGATGATTTATAATATTTTCAGCTTCTCTGTTCCAATGGTTCTCGAGATATGTCTATGACTATTGACTATGTCTTTTTGGGAAGGGGTTGATACTTCATTTTAACAATTAATTTAACCTATATCTTTGAAATATTTGAATTTTTTTATATATGTATAGGTGTTGTATGTTAAATTTAACCTCCACGGTATATATGTACTTATTACATAGTAATAAATACATGTTTTTGCATATATGCGATATGGCTGACTTCACAATAGCGGTATCAGCCCTACAGGGCTGATATGGATTTGCAGGGCTGATAACCTATATCAGCCCTGCAAACCCATATCATCCCTCCAGGGTTGATACGGCTATTGTGACCTCAATATCACACCCTTAGTAAATTAAACCAAAAACAGTACTTGTGATCATACACAATTTTTTGGTTGGTTCATATTCTCTTTTAACTTTTTTGAAATAAGGTTAATTTTAATTTACATATACGATAGATTATTTTCAATTTGCGGATTGGGGGCACTTGAAATAGAAGTACAGAAACAAACCTAAACTTTATGAGACAATAGACTGTGTACATTTTAAGAAGTCCGTGCATGATTATTAACTTATTTTCTTCTCAACGTAATGTGTTCTGTATTTTATTACTAAGTATGTAATAAATATAATAAAACATACCCTTTTCCATACTGTAGATTGGGAATTATTCACGGTGGTTTTAATTTCGCTATGTTCGCGATTTATTAATTTTCTGTGAAATTAAATCCATCGTGTTAGTTTTAGTTTTTAATTATGTTAAATTGCTACAGGAAATTTTGAATTAATTTCTCGCAGCGTGAAATTAAAACCATCGCAAATGGTGTTTTTTGAGATATCGTGAAATTTTAACACCGTGGAATTAAACCAATTTACAGTATCACATCCTGTATCAGCCCTAGACCAATATCAGCCCTCGAGCCTTCGGCCCTCTGGTTGATACATGTATTGGTGTCTCGGGCTGATACAGGATGTGATATGGAAAAGGGTATGTATTATTCTCTATTTATCACATATTTTCCCCTTTATCCCGTTGATATAGCTCATGTGATATCGTTTTCGTATCAACGCTATGTATTCCTACGCCGCGCGACTTGATGTAAATAAACAGATACATGTGTATGATAGAGAGAATGACTTAATTTGTCAAATTTCACTTTATTTGATGTATTTTAACAAAATTTCATTCCTGAACTAAAAAAAATAGGCGCTGAAATATTTTCTTTCTTTTATATTTGTACGAACTATTTCATACAGCGTAATTTTATTTATTACGTTATTTGGTCCGAGGTAACCGAAAAGGAACTTTGGAATAGAAATAACGACAAAATACACATCTATAGTGAACAAAAATATGTGATAAAAAGAATCTCCCATGGTTTGTGATTTGATATGATTTTTATCCAACTCGTTGTGTGTTTCTATCCCCTCGCCAAGGCTCGGGGATAGAAAACACACAACTCGTTGGATAAAAATCATATCAAACCACAAACCATGGGAGATCCTATATATATATTTGTGTCACGACACCCTAAGCTTGATCAGTGATAACAAGACTATTTTTCTGTTTACAATTTTATATAAAAACAAATATGTACAAATATACAAAATGAAATTAATGAATTTCAAAATGTCTATCAGTGTCCATCCTGAGACCACGTTCCTATATCCGTCCCCGCCTCCTGTGTTTATCGGTCCATGACCTACGGGTACCACGCCCTTACACCAAATGCCACCACGTCCTCGACGTCCTGCGCCTATCCCACGCGTCTTAAGCGTCTGCAATGCTGCCAAATCCGGGAAACCACGTTTCCTCTCTCACGGTCTCGGCCCAGCGTACCACGCCCTTAGGTTGCCTCCGCCGACAGCACCAAATCATACTAACGTACATGTATCAATAGGGACCTTCAACAAATATGCGTAGACATAATAAGCTTGACCCCGAACGGGCTTCCTTACAACATAACATAAATGTTTACACATATACTTGTTTAAACATACAGTTTTAACTAACATGTATCACACCGCTTCGCAAAGCAAAATAATAATACAATGTAACGTTACACTTTGAGTAATAAACTAATATCATTACTTTACGCTTAAACTCACGGCATGTGCACGTGGTAAAATTCCCGTATACAATTCAAACACTTTCTCGTGGATAAAAATAGAATAAGCTCAATTAACATAATACTGCATTACTTTTTAATATAATAAATGTAAGTAAATTACGCTTACCCTGATTGGAGATTCAGTTACCACGAAAAACTACCTAACCCTCCATGGACATGTGAAACTACTTTCACTGGTCAAGGAAAACGTGCGCTACCCAAGACAAACCTGACATCACCTTATATAGCGACTGGCCAAATATTTAAATCACCTGAGCGTTACAATGGGGCTCCTTGCAGGATAAACACTAAATACAAATAAGGCTCAACACAGGACAATACTAATAAAAGAAAACAGATAAACATATAACAAAATCAACTTTGATTGTGACATCACCTCCCCAATTCAAGAAAGTTCACTGAACTTGTGCAAAACTCACAATCAACAACAACAAAAAACATATGTACAAAACTACAATGTTCATAATGTCTCACTCAAATCCTACAGCCTACTTAGACAATCGGCTCCCACGTTCTCTGATCCTTTAATCGCCACAATACGGAACCTGTAAGGCTGCAAAAGTAAGGACCATCTCATTAGTCTTGCATTAAGCACTTTAGATTGAGATAAATAAATAAGCGGCTGATGGTCTGTCTCCAACATAAATTGTTTTCCGTACAGATATCTCTGAAATTTCTGAACTGCCCATATGATAGCAAAACATTCTTTCTCGATCGTAGAATACTTAACTTGCTGCGCTGTAAGTTTCTTACTGGCGTAAGCAACGGGTTTCTTGATACCATTCTCATACTGGAGAAGAACCGCTCCAATGCCAACATCTGATGCGTCCGTTTGCAAGATGAATTCTTCGCTGATGTTCGGCAGCTTTAGTACTGGCGTTACCATAAGTGCTGATTTCAGGGTGATGAAAGCGTTCTGCTGGGTCTCTCCCCACAAAACTTTGTTTGGCTGTCCCTTTTTCGTCAGGTCGGATAATGGTGCGGCAACAGCTGAAAAATGGGGAATAAACTTACGATAAAACCCGACCAAACCGAGAAAAGATCTTACTTGTTTCTTTGTGATAGGTCTTATACAGTTCTGGATTGCTTCGACCTTATCTGGAATTGGTCTGAGTTCCTCTTTTCCTGCAATGTATCCCAAACATTCTATACTGCTGAATCCAATGAAACATTTGCTTGGCTTGGCTGTCAAGTTAGCTGCCCGCAATCTTTGTAGGAACTCCTTTATCACCATCAAATGGTCCTGAAAAGTTCTAGTATAAATAATCACATCATCAATGAAATTGTCAATTGATTGCATCCCTGCTAATAACTTTCTCATTAAACGGGTGAAACTTGCTGAAGCATTTACTAGCCCAAACGGCATAACCTTAAATTGATAGAGTCCAAGAGGTGATTGGAACGCCGTTATTTCTCTTGCAGACTCTGCCAAAGGAAGTTGCCAATACCCTTTGCACAAATCAAACTTGGAAACATATTTACAACCTGCTAACTGTACAAATACATCGTCTATGTTTGGAATAGTCTCGGCATCAAACACTGTAATTTTATTGACTGCTCTAAAGTCAATACAAAATCTATTTGCACCGTCTTTCTTTTTCACAATCACAATGGGTGAACAATATGGACTGTTCGAACTTTCAATCACTCCCGACTTTAGCATGTTTCTTACTTCCTCGCACACTTCATCACGAGTTGTAAAAGGTAAAGGGTATGGTTTGGATCGCACAGGCTTGTCACTCGTCAACTTTATATAGTGCTCATCCAATGTCGTACATCCTGGAATATCTGATAACACATCACTATACTCTTCAAGTAACAATTTCACTTGTTCATGTTCACTTATTGTCAGTTCATCACTTACTTTGACATCACTGGGTTTCTCCTTCGAAGTGGGTAGTGTTGAATCTATCAGATCACTGTCGTCAACTGAATCGTCTTCTTCAACATCCACCATAACTGCACTAGCGACACCTAAGATACCAGCATCAACACAACATTCTTTCCTGTCAAAATATAACTTGAGCATATTTGCATGGAATGTCTTAATTTTGCCGTTCATGTCTATTCTATAATCAACTTTCCCCAATTTCTTCTCAAAAGGACCTTTCCATTGCATTAACAATTTGTTGCTCTCTGTTGGTAAAAGTACAAGCACCTTCTCACCTACTGACATGTCTCTGTTTTTAGCCTTCTTGTTGTAGTGTGCTCGGTAACGTTCGGATGACTTCTCTAAATTCTCTCTGGCCAACTGACAAGTAGACTCTAGGCGTTCTCTTAGATCAACAACATATTGATAAGTACTTCTCACCTCAGAATCCGTCTCTTCTTTCGTCCAAAGCTCTCGTAGGATTCTCATCGGACCCCTGACTCTGTGTCCGTATACCAATTCGAATGGCGAAAATCCCAAGCTCTCCTGTGGGGCATCTCGATACGCAAAAAGTGCTGCTGACAGGTACTTGTCCCAGTCTTTTGGCCGCTCTGAACACAGTCGTCGAAGAATCTGCTTCAGGGTACCATTAAATCTCTCCACCAAGCCATTACACATCGGGTGATAGGGTGTCGTGGATAACTGTTTCATCGAAAGTAAACGACTTACTTCACCCATCAACTCTGAAATAAACTGTGTCCCCATGCCTGTCAGCATCTCTTTCGGAACTCCGATTCTGCAAAATATATCTACTAATGCCTCAGCTACTCTTTCAGTTTCTATACCTTTGAGTGCAACCGCTTCTGGATAGCGTGTTGAAAAGTCAACTAAAGTTAAAATATAACGATTACCGTTATCAGTCATTGGCTGTATTGGTCCTACCAGATCAACTGCTACGCGTCTGAATGGCTCATCGATGATCGGCATAACACTCATTGGAACTTTAGTTGTCCTACCTTTAGGAGGAGTCCTCTGACATATGTCGCAGGATCGACAAAACCGTCTTGCGTCAGCCTGGACTCCTGGCCAATAAAACTCAGCTAGCACTTTATCAATTGTCCTTGATGTAGCTAAATGACCTGCCATTAAAGACTCATGTGCAAGTGATAAAACTTTCATTCTGTACTTCTTAGGAACAACTAGTTGAGTAAACTGCTTACCATTCTCGACTTTCTCTGACTGGAAAACTTGAAACAGCATACCTTTCTTCAAAATGTACTTCACTCTGTTGTAGTTGGTTTCCTTTCCAACCAAAGCTCTAAGATTCTTCAGCGTCTCGTCTTCTTCCTGTGCTTTCAACATATCCTCTGGACAAACTTCAGATCCTATTATTTCTGGAACAGAAAGGGGTTTTATCTTCTTACCTTCCATGCGTTTCTGTTGTCTAGTCACTACAGCATTCACAGCACTAGGCTTCCAGTCCTTGTTCGGATCGTGAGGATCTCTAGCATGCGGAATGTTTCCGATAATCAAAGGATATAATGGAGCATGTAGGCACCACGCATTCACTTCTCCTACGAAATACGGAGTGTCAACATTCACCTTTGCGATAGGGGTTTCAATTTTGGATCCGTCCGCCAAAACACACACTTGATGGTCTCCAGTAAGTTGATCATCATGGACAAGACTCCTACGCACTATTACACCATTGCATCCCGTGTCTCTAAGTACTTGAACAGACTGATCATTAATTTCACCAACACAAACAGGCATCTGATCTGAGAAATTAGCTATACTGCAAGCTGATGTAGTTAATAAGTCTGACGAATTTGCCATTGAAAATGTTGAAGTTGATGTTATAGATGTAAAAGCAGAGCACTTGCCTGAATCTTTGTGTTCCTTCAAACTGCTTCCTGACTCACTAGAAGTATCCGCTTTCACCGCAAAGCTTTGATTCTTACTTGATGACTGTTTACACTGCGAGGCTATATGTCCTAGCCTGGAACATTTGTAGCATCGAATATCCTTCCCTGTCTTCTTCTGTTGTGAAAAGGACTGACAAATAGTCTTCGGCGGCACTTGCTCCTTCTGGCTGCGTTGATCTCTTGCTGAAACTGGATTTCTGTTTTCAAATGTCGTTTCCTTTTTGCTAGAAGAAACTAAAGTTAATATGTTTACATGACGCGCCTCTTTGAACTGATCCGCTAACATACACATCTCTTCAATACTTTTTGGAATACGCTCCTTTAGGAACAACGATAAGTCTCTATTACAGATTGATATGAACTGATCTCGCAACACTAAGTCATATAGTCCGTTGTAAGTTTTGTTAACTTTTCCAAACTCAATCCTTCTATCTAGATAACTTCCTAAACGAACTGCGAATTGTGTAAAGGTTTCACCTACCTCTGGTCTACACCTACGGAAATATTCTCGAAAACCGTCCTCTGTTTTCTCAAACCTCCTCAGCAAAGCTGTTTTAAGGGCTGCATAATCCAGAGCCTTTTCTTGTGGAAGTAGGGCATAGACATCAAGAGCTCGTCCTTTAAGTAATGCGCTTAAGTTCACGGCCCACATTCCTTCGTTCCACTTCTGTGCTATAGCGTATCTTTCGAATCGTCTAAGAAAAGAGTCTATGTCATCTTTAATCTCATCAAAGTATGGCATTTTAGGAACCTTTGTTAATGAACCATCAGATATGTCTGACTTAACAGCTTTAGATTCTGTCTCTTTCAAACTCAACTGGTACTTAAGTTCTTGTACATTAGCTTGGTACTTACTTTCGAGTGCATCTAGAGATTTCTTTTCTTCTAGACGGAGCTTCTCTACTTCCAAAGCTTCTCTCTTCAACTCATAGTCTCTGTCCTCCTTTTGTCTCTCTCTCTGCTCAACTCTGAGTTCTCGCAGATGTGCCTGTTGTTCACGGATGAACCTCTGAAGATCCGCTCCCGTCAACTCCAAACTTTGACCATATGCAGTCAGCTCTTTTAACAAATCCATCTCAAAAATCGCCAGTAAATAAACCAACTATCAAACAACATAAACTGACAAAAAAATGACAAAGCAAAATATCACTCCAGGAAAACTGGACTAAATCGAAATCAAACCTTCATAATACAAACAAATTCATGGTAACGTCCACTCCTCTCAGGGTCCCCTAACTTCTATCTGAACGTCTCTCTACAACAATACAATAAAAAAAAATATTATAACTTCAATACATGAAAATACTACAATATTTTTCCAACGTTCAGTCCAATTTACACAAAAAACATTTAAAAAAAAAAAAAAAAACCAATCACTGATCAAAGCTAACATCATCATCCCACTTCTGACACCATTGTCACGACACCCTAAGCTTGATCAGTGATAACAAGACTATTTTTCTGTTTACAATTTTATATAAAAACAAATATGTACAAATATACAAAATGAAATTAATGAATTTCAAAATGTCTATCAGTGTCCATCCTGAGACCACGTTCCTATATCCGTCCCCGCCTCCTCTGTTTATCGGTCCATGACCTACGGGTACCACGCCCTTACACCAAATGCCACCACGTCCTCGACGTCCTGCGCCTATCCCACGCGTCTTAAGCGTCTGCAATGCTGCCAAATCCGGGAAACCACGTTTCCTCTCTCACGGTCTCGGCCCAGCGTACCACGCCCTTAGGTTGCCTCCGCCGACAGCACCAAATCATACTAACGTACATGTATCAATAGGGACCTTCAACAAATATGCGTAGACATAATAAGCTTGACCCCGAACGGGCTGCCTTACAACATAACATAAATGTTTACACATATACTTGTTTAAACATACAGTTTTAACTAACATGTATCACACCGCTTCGCAAAGCAAAATAATAATACAATGTAACGTTACACTTTGAGTAATAAACTAATATCATTACTTTACGCTTAAACTCACGGCATGTGCACGTGGTAAAATTCCCGTATACAATTCAAACACTTTCTCGTGGATAAAAATAGAATAAGCTCAATTAACATAATACTGCATTACTTTTTAATATAATAAATGTAAGTAAATTACACTTACCCTGATTGGAGATTCAGTTACCACGAAAAACTACCTAACCCTCCATGGACATGTGAAACTACTTTCACTGGTCAAGGAAAACGTGCGCTACCCAAGACAAACCTGACATCACCTTATATAGCGACTGGCCAAATATTTAAATCACCTGAGCGTTACAATGGGGCTCCTTGCAGGATAAACACTAAATACAAATAAGGCTCAACACAGGACAATACTAATAAAAGAAAACAGATAAACATATAACAAAATCAACTTTGATTGTGACATTTTGTAACTGCATAGGGAATTATATTTTTACAAAAAATGCTCCTGGTAAAAGCATTCTCACTCTGAAGTGATCTACATATAATTCATATCAGAATATTTAACAATGATTGATTTAAGAAAAGATACGTTTCTTCATACAAGGCCTAAAGGTTGGATACCTTAACATAAAGCATTTCAGCAATTTGCTGGTCAAGAGATATATTTTATATTCCATTTAAACATGTATTTTTGTGCAAAATCATCTTTTTCGTTCAATGTTCTTCAGATTGTAGATTGGGTAATCATTGCGTGTAAAACCAACATTGCCTGCACAAAACACAATATCAAAATTTTGTATTCTATAATTAATTGTAAATTAACCAGTCTAAAATGACAATATACAATAAAGATTAAAGGACTGCATGTAGGAACAAACTGAAAGTCATTTATTAATACAGATACTGACTCTAATGTGATATTAGAAAAAAAAAATTAAAAAAACATATAGTAAAAGTAAATTTAAATATACAAAACTGTGCACATGAACCTAAAATAGAGCAATATTTTGTTGTTGTTGTTGTTGTTTTTAGGAAAATAAAATGGTATCTCCAATAAATGAAACCTGATTAACTGCCCAAAATCAATGTAGAAATTATACAAATAGATCTTCATTTTTTCAGAAGTTGAATGTAAATGTAGAAGTGTTGATTTTCACAATACACAACAAAAAGAATTCGAATTTAAACCAAATTAAAATTCTCAAATTTCTGTACCTTGTATAATAATTATTATTAAACAAAAAATTAAACACATGTATGTCATATATATACATATGTATATTGAATTGTTTGAAATGAGTGCTATGCTTGTACAATTACATGTGATTGCATGTACATGTAGTAAATATGTGTATGTGTGCTGTACAGTACTCAAATTACTTTACAAATACAAGAGGCACATATGTAAGTTGTGCTTGATCTAGCTAAGTCGATCTATTAAAATGACGTTAAAAATTATTAATGTACAGGAATATAGACATAAATGAAAATTTGTTTTTCGTTTCTTTTCAAATTCTTGCTTCGCCCAATTTTTTTTTTTACTTGCTTCTTTAAGAACAAAATTCAATTGATTCATATGGTATAGCATTGAACACATGTATTTAAAATGTAAAATATTTCTGGTTAATTCTAAACAAATATTTTCATACACAATGAATATTAAAATTCACTCTAGCAAACTATTGTAATGATAAGGTTTCATATTATGAACCCTAAACCTTGTGCTGTAGTGATGCGTTGGTCAAACAAAAAATTACATGATTAAATAATTTTCCTTTAATACAAATGCTTCTTTCTAAAATGATTTATGCATTTATCAAACATTTGCTTATTTGAATCAGTTTAAGACATATATACATATTTCGGATATTGAATCCTCATCAGTGTTGCTTTTCTTAGTTTCAAATACCAGGTAAATTTTAAATAAAACACCATTTTCCTCAAATAATTTTAAACAAATATTTTTAAAAAAGCAATTTTTGGCAGAAAACATATATGACATAAAATATCTTAAAGTTGAATTCCAGAAAAGAAAAATTAATAGAGGAGAAAAATGTAAACCCCCCTTCCTAAGAAAGAAGCTGAAATTCCAATTAAAATTACCATCTAATAATTTAACGACAATTATTGCAACATATATGTATACATTATTTTTTTTTCTTTTTTCTATTTGAATTGTATAGATAAATTTTCTGAGTTGTTTTATTTTTTTGTGATTATTTTCCATTTTGTTTGACCAACTCATGCAAATGACACTCGGACCGTCCCTTTGATAGATTCTCGGCACACTGGGCAGTTTTTTTAAAGCGGGTGAACACTGGGCACAACTGACCAGGTGCCCACAGGGTAAAAAAACAATGGACACCCTCTCCTCACAACACAGAATACACATGGTCCTCTCTCGCATTTCACTGTTTCTCTGAGTAAGCTCCTTTATATCTGTAAGAAACAAAAAAACGTATTTACACAAAATGATGCTTTTAAGGATTATGAAAATTGATAATGAACAACAGATCAAATGATTTGTTTTTCCTTGTACAGTTTTTGATTTAAAAAGATTTCTGAGTGACATAAAAATTTTTCGAGTGTTATTGCAAATGTGAAAAGATTTTTTTTTTAATCAATGTATGCTGATTCTTAGAAAAAAATTCAACTTCAGGAGTGCAAGGCACTGTTGACTACATATGCAATTAAAAGTATAATTAAACATGAAATTAATAAAAAGAATTTTCAAAAAAATAAATCACCATCTGGGACTCTGTCGTTGATTTTCTTCCAGGAACTGTCCGATAAAACTTTAGGAACCATGGAATTTTCTCTGTCGATTTTACCAGACTCTTCCATGTCGAAAATGATGTTAGCAATGTTTGATCCTGACATGCCATCCCAGCCTTAATTAATGAATCAATCAGTTTATAAAAATAAACATAATTATCAATTAACAACATTACGAAAGTAACTATATAGCATTGGGTAATATGAAATTTTTTTAGTACAAAAGTCGAATTACCTCCCTTTAACCAGTAAATTACTAAATGTGTGGAATTCACAAGCACATGTTACAATAAATTGATTGGTGAAAATGTCAACTCAAAGAATATCAAAACATTACATACATATACTGGTATGTAATCAATCTATTTAAGGATTATAGCACTGACAGTAATTTTAAGGTGAAATGTGCCACTCTTCTCAATATTACATATCAATCACTTCATATTGGCCATACTTTTATTTAAAGAAGGATTAAACCTCAATCAATCATTAAAAAAAATTGATTTGTATTTTAGATGGTTTATCAAGAAATCACCAAGATCCTTTATACAAAATGGCTTCAAAGAGTCATAGAATAGTATACCATTGCATATGTACTGTTACATTGTTAATAATAATTTTATTTAACATTAAGCTATTTACAAAATGAAAATCTTAATGAATCAGTTTAATTTTGATAGACATAAATTACAGTAGTCTTTCATGTTGAAAATAAAATTAGAAAATAAAAACTCTCAATTATCAATATGAATTAAGAGGTATTCAAAAAATGAGTAACTAGAGTCAATGTTTCTAATTTCTTGAGAATTTCAAAGTAGGTTATCTCCCTTTAACCATTAAAAAAAATAATTCAAATTGGATATCTTTTTTGTTGTCTTTTAAGCCCCTTTTTCCAAAATTTCTCTACCATGGGAACTCGGTATGAGTTTATATTACAATCCTACCTTTAGCCTGCAGTACTTTATCGACTGCCATCTTGACGATTCTAGGCATGTACCCCATGGCCAGGACGCTCTGAGCTGCGTTACTCAGGAGAGGGTTTTTCTTCTCGGCGTTTGTTGGAGGTTTACGACCTGATGACAAAGACTGACTGCTGGTTGCTGTGTTATTCTGTATTCCTACAATACATAATTACATCATAAGCATGTATCATTAAAACATAATCTTAACTTAACCAATGAAAATGAGAAAGCTTTTGGATAAATTCTTGCAGATTTTTTTTTTCTCCTAATAATTATTTCATTGTGATTTATGAATTTATTTGATTTTGACACTTTTATAAACCCTGAACCAACTGAACTGGTGTCCTATTTGAATAGTAAAGAATATGACAATAACAGTAAGCTGAATAAAATTCTTTTCAATGTGTGGTGGTCAGCCCGATTCAATTGACGGTGGGCGGATATCTCAGCCTGTAGAGCACCTGACCCGAGATTCAAGGGGCTTGGTTTGGAATCCTGGTATGGACCTCTCCCGTTACATTTGGTGCCATGCCCTGGAACTGACTGGTGAGAGGCCTGCCAGGGATGAGTCTGGGTTGGGGTCTTTCAAGGCCAAAGACCTTTAAGCAGGAAAGAATGTGGCAGTCAGCCGGATTCCATCACTGGTGGCCAGATACATGTAGCTCAGTCTGTAGAGCACCTGAACAGAGATTCAGAGGGCCTGGGTTCAAATTCCGGTCTGGTCTACTGCATTTTTCTCCTCCCTGGGCCCTTACAAATGTACATTGTACAACACCTTCATCACTCCCAATACTGGCATTATTTCAACACTATTTCATATACTAGCTGTATGTAAAGCTTTGTGTCTCCTTTATGTCTAACATGCAACATCCTGTTCATGATTAGCATGAGAAATGGGTATGCATTAAAACATACCACCATCCTGTGTATAATATACTCGTAGCTCTATACCATGCAGAAAATTTGTAAATACCTGTGTCAATGTTAGGAGGTACACAGTCAGCCGCGATGTCTGTAGCTTCCCTCATCATAGCATCAGATTGTTATTGTAGAGCTTCTTGCTACAAAACACAAAGAAAGGTATATATAAAATGTTAATATGCTGTCATTAACAAATTCCAAGTTTAACATGCAAAAATGTGAGTAAAACCAACATACATGTATGAATGATTCACTTAAGGTTAAGATAATCAAATGATGTAGTCAAGATTATATTGACCACATTGAAAACATAATACTGATTCTTTGAAAGAAATTCTCATGAAATATTGAAATATATATAAAACAAGCAAAAATAAATAAATGTTTCCTTCTAGATCTGCTACAATTTGGTGAAGGCAGGTAGTCCTGTTTGACTTTATCCTTTGATCTTAAGGGTTTGCAATTATTGACCTCCACATTGCTCAGCTTCTATATATATTGTCCTGACTTAATTCTGGCCAAGCTTAGTTTGCAGACAGAAAAAAATAGACGGACAGACTGATAGGTTAATTACAATTTTAATTTGCTTCTCAGATCTACAAACACAACCCAAAACTTCACATCTGAGATGGGTGGGAAAACACAATCATGTTAAACAGCATCTGATTCATTCAAAAATATTTTTTGCCAAACATGCCAAACCAAATGCAAGCAAACCACAGCTACATGTACGGTTACTGTGTCAGCTTCAGCAGTACAACAAATAAAGTCTGTTGCAACACATGGCTTCACTCCTCAGAGAGATGATCGATGATACAGCAAAGGGAAGCTACTGTACAACTCCAGCATACTCCTCTGTTGTAATATTTATGGAATTGCACTGGGGATATAAATCAATATTTCCTAGTCTATTTTTTTTTCTCTGTGATAACTCTTTGAAAGTTGTCGGAGTTTATTTCTTTATAATTCTGCCGGAATGTAAATTAGGCAGGTCGATAGGTCAGGAGCTAAGGAGGCCTAATACGCATGCAAATCTCGTGTGCAACTACCTCTGTGTCTGACGCTTAGGAGGCCAAATATCCATGTAAATCTCGTGGGACTGCCTAAGTGATTGACGTCGGTGGGCGAGGACTATTGAAATTGGCATGGAAGTCCTCGTGTGATTTAAGTCTATGTTTACATCTTTAAAGTCTAAATCTACAATTTTAATTCACAATGAAATGGAAATATAAGGAATCACTGTCTAGTTTTGAGAGTATGCCAGGGACATCAACAATAGTGGGACACATGGGATTATTTTAGCATAACGAGCTTTGCCCGTTATGCAAATTATCCCATGTTTCCCACTATTGTTGATGCCCTGGTATACTCTCAAAACTAGACAGTGATTCCTTAAGTCAGTTTTGTAATTTCTAACAGAAATTACTTATCATCATACCCTTTATCTGGATCTTCAAACATCGTGTTGATTACAGGAGACATCTATTAAGATTGGCAGACTTCTGCCTTCCTGGTTTATTTTCCGCTTGTCTAATATATATTTTTATACCTTATGAGTCATCATTTTTGACACAGACAAGACTTATTTTAGATACATGTATTAAGTATACTGGTTTAGACAGCCCTGTTAACATGGTAAAACCCATGATTATTTATGTTCTAGTTTGTATAAAACTACTAGCTGTTAAACTGAGTCTGATCTGAAGTATTCTTATTAAGAGATCCCCTTTTCAGACCTCAGTCTTTATATTATATATAATGTAGTCATTAATCAATATTTCTATTTTACACAACATTTACTACATGCTGATAACCGGTACATGATTTATGTAATTATAGCAATTAATTAAACTTTGTTAAGCTTTTCATACACCTCATATTTTTTTTTTGTTCTTTGTCCCCAAGTTCCATAAATCACCTCTTAGGTGCATTAAAAAAAATCTAGAAATTCAATTCGATGTTCAACTCTGAAGGTGTGATTATGCATCATGATTATACACAGTCAGGCCTAAAAGCAAAAATAATGACTGTTCTTTCAGTTCAATAGAAACAGGAAACGTATGCCTCTTATATCCATTTGATGTAAGTGCACTTGTACGATATCACAAAACTATTCGTCGGTTAAAGTATTCATGCATGCATGAATATGATGATCAGAAAAAAATGTTTCTTAATAACTGCATTCTTTTCTGTCATTTTTCATAAATTTATTTTTAATTTCCCGATGAAGTGTAAATGACACTGAAAAGTTGAAAAAAAAAGATACCTTATTCTCTGTCCTCTGCAATGACATGCAGTTTGCATTAGTGGAACTCCAACCCCCGGTTCCGACGCCTATGAATTACTTTTCCTTTAGTAATTATCAATATCAGTTTATTTTTGGAGACAATATGACAGCTAAAATCTTTCAATGTTGTAGTTTAACTTCGTTTTAACATAGGTTCCTTTCATTGAAAAGGATACTTTTATGCATTCCCTTTGAAAGAGCTTCAGTAATTTACGATATATATTCAAAAGCAAATCCTGAATAATAACAATGTTATCTGCATAATAAGAACTAAAAGTTATTCTATGAACACCGGATCCAGCAATTCTTGAAAAAAGGGGGTCCATGTTTGGTGCCCCGATACTCATGCATGGACTCGCACAACTGGAACCTCAAACCCATAGCAGTGGTTTTCAAGGAGAGCAACTCCCAAAAATATTTGACAAACAAAGAGAAATAAAAATAACGCATAAACTTTAATTTCTATTTCAAGGGGTGGGATGGGGGTCCAACCTTTGGAAACATTTTTCTTTCGATTGCTTTTCATTGGGTATTTTGACCTTCTGGCAACAAAGGGTGTGGGGAAGCGAAGAGTATCAGTCCAAATCAAAACCTACGCATTAAAACTACAGCGTAAGATTATTCTCAGCAAAAGAGAGAACCCTTCCCTCCTCATACTATTTAAACATTTATTTTTATTGATCAAAATATCCGCATGATATATAAGGAGAGAGATATTCTATTCTACATGTACATACCCCATTTCATGACTTTTTATACAGATGATTTAAATGGCATATAGATTTAAGCTAAAACTCGGCGGAGAATTCCGCTGATTTGAAAGGGAAACCTGTGGGTAATCGGGGACTGAGGTCGGGATTGTAAAGGTTCACAGAGGAAAGCAAAACGGGGAAACACTTCTGTGTCTACATGTAGCAAGCAGAAAGGGCATACTGATATGTACTTATTTTATTCAAAATATTAGACATAACAGTATCTATGTTACATAAAAACACTTCTCTCTGTCTCCCTCACTCTCCCTCTCTCTTTGCAAAAATAAAAGGGATATCCAACCCTCGGAACCCCCCTCAACTTAAAAGTATGGACCCGCCTATGCCGGCAAAGTAATGCATTATCCTATATATCATTCTTGTTACGAAAAACCCTCAAGATCATGAAAAATGTAATGATTTCACTTAAAAGTTAATTTCTCCTTGCCTTACTCAATGTATATTCAAAGGTATATTCTTGATAATCTAGTCTGAGATGAACAGACACTCCGTAATGCATTGCCGATGTAGTACAATATTGAAAGGTTCTGGGTTTACTACCCTTTTATTTATACTCGAGAGGGGGGGGGGGGGTGGGGTATCTAATACAGCCTGGCTCTAGAAAATATGGCCCGCCGTCGGTTTAGTATACACATTTAACGCATGTATTCATTCTAAATTTATTGTTAAATGATTTTTTTTTCATTATTTAGGAATCGTAATAACAGAAGAAATGTAGAAAACAAAATTTAAGAAGAAAAATAAAAGAATTTTTAGATGTATTGATGAAATATATAGAGATAAAAAAATTCAAAATAGAAGCATAGCAAATACGGACCTCCAGAACATTAATTAGAAGTGAGGGTCAGATGTCAGGGAAAAGTGAGCATCCCCTACCGCCCGGTTACACCCACCGTTTGCTTCTTGTCATATCGGGAATATCGAAAAGTGACATGCATGGGAGGCCTAATGTTGTAAACGCTTTTAAAATATAAATTTACATTTTTTTACAATAAAATGGAAATATAAGGAATAGCCCATTATGTAAGTTACCTCTTCTTCTTTTTTCCAACTATCGTTGATGCCCTGGCATACTCTTCTAAACATCAGCTTTGGAGTGGTCTCATTTTGAGTATGAATCAGGCACGTACCATCGTTTTTGAAAGTGGGGGTAGCCATTGAAAAAAAAAAATTAATTTTACTTACGTGAAAAAAAAATATAAGCCCAAAAAAAAAAAAAAAAAAAAACATTGCCCAAACCCAAAACTCCTATTTCATGGGGGTCGAGAAGCCAACTTTTTTCAGATGCCAACTTTCAATACCAATTTTTTGGCATACAATACTACGTTCCTTTCATATCACTTCACCGTGATGAAACGGGGGAGGGGGACCCATCCTTTCAATGAACATTTTCAATAGTAAAAGTAATGTTTGGGGGAAAAAAATGGGGGGAGCCCCCCCCCCCCCCCTTCGTTGCTACGTGCCTGAATCAAGACGATGATGCCAAAATTTATAGTAAGCTCGGTATAACCAAATGTAAGAAAGATACCTTAAATTTAGATGGACTTTTTGTTTTATTATACTTCGTTTTAAGATCAACCATATTACTTGCTCTAGTTCTTTTTAAGGAAATATTGTTCCACGGGGATTTGATTTCGTGGTTGAAGAATTGTTCAGTAGCATTATTATGGCCTGTCAAACGTTGCAATGCTCGGTTTTTTCCATTTGTTTTGTATGGTTTTTATTTGCATTCTATCATCTCCATTTGCATCTATAATTTTTTGTTTGCATTGTAAGATTTTCCATTTGTATTATAAAAAAAATTATTTGCATTCTATAATTAGTCCCCTACCGGTGAAACCGGAGGGGACTATAGGTTTCCTCTGCGTCTGTTCGTCTGTCTGTCTGTCCGTCCGTCCGTATGTCTCTCCCCGTCTGTCTGCCAGTCTCTCCCACTTGGTTTTCCGTACTTTTTTTTTAAACGCTTGCAGATATTGAGCTGAATTTTGGTATGTGAGTGTATCTTGATTTCGCATCGCTTTATTAATTTTTGACAGAATTATGGCATTTTGAATTTTTCGCATTCGTTTAATTAAGATCGGGTTCGTACTGCGCTAACTTCTGATGATCGACATAAATATGAAGCGAGTAAAAAAAGTTAGAAAAAATGAGTTGAATTTTCATCTTGATGTGGATTACTTTTATTGGGTTTAAAGCATTCACGACCTAAAAAATCATGCAGTTTTACCTTGGATATAACTTTTGCATATTATAAAATGACATCCTGAAGAAAAAGGGGAACCCGGTAGGGGACATGTATTGCTTTCGCAATACTCTCTCACAATACTTGTTTTTATTTATATTCTGTCATATTCCATTTGTATTTTTATAATTTTTCATAATTAGATTGTATAATTTTTTATTTGCAGTCTATAATTTATCATTTGTATTCTATAATTTTTTATTTGAATTGGGGATGGGGTGTTAACTTGTCCCATCATCTTTACAAACTACGCTAAAGTAACTGTTATACATGTATTTTTAAAATACTGTGAAAATGTCAATCCCTCCCACGTGCACTGCCTTTTATGCATATAAATGCAGTCATGGTAATGTAAATTGTTATTTCATTGGGGGGGGGGGGTCACAAAAGTTCACCCCCCCCAAAAAAAAAGAGATATTCGTTACTTCTGGAATTAACATATTGTATTGGTAACATACATAATTTTATGTTTTTTGCGTTTCAAGTTGTATTTCCCCCCCTCCCCCTTCAAAAACGATGTTACGTCCTTCGTTGTTAATACTGTAGTCTTTGTTGTGCCTGTTAATAACTTCTCATTTCATATGGTTTGT